AACCCTCCCGTGTTGTTATTTTTTTTAAATTGTCAGATTGTTCTGCAAACCTAGAGGGTCCCCTAAATGTGCTGAAACTTCCCCCATCTGCAGATTTACATATCTGCATATAGGGGGCACACTTGGGAATTAGATATATAGATTAATCCACTCTGGCTCAAAGATTTTAATTTCTGGAGACTCTGGAAAAGGAACTGAATTTTGAATAACCACTCACAAAATATTAAGACGACATTTCCTAGACGATGAAAATGGGAACAAAATAAGCAGTTTACTAGAGGCTGGCAAGAACAAAATAGGGATCATCCCTGGTATAAAAGGACAGATGGAGGCAGGCCCATAGCCAGGATTTTTTAAGTTGGGGAACATTTAAATGTTTTGGGGGGATGGCTAATTTAATTAACAGTAATTTAATTAAAGGTCTACCATAGTAGGCAACTCACTGGCATCACTGAGTGAAGAATAATTATGGACCACCAGGAATAAAACGTAAAAATGTAAAGACAGCATTTTCTTTCAGTTGCTTGAGAGTTCATTTATTCTGCTGGGGGATGTAAGCCCCCCCCCCAACTGCGAAAGTCCGGCTAGCACGCATCTTCCTGCATGCAATGCACCCCAGACCCAACATCACATGCCACTGCATAGGTGAATCTAGGTTACTAACAAGACACGGTAGTACACTGTGTCCCTTTAGCCTCCTGCAGTGCATGGATATTTATATAGGCAGCTGCCCAAAAACGCTGGATGCTTTTTATGCCTGCAATACATGCTTGTAACTGAGTGTGATTCTGAATGGTAGGATCGATGGAGCAGTTGCTGAAGCAGAGGAGGGAGGGGCTGGGCTGGATATTCAAATCGCCTCCTAGAACAGGCACAACTTCCCCTTCCGGCATGGGGGGGGGGAGTGAGTGGAGGGCCCTCAGTGGCAGGAGCACTCTGGGCTCTCCATGGGGAGCAGCAGCCAGACCAGGCTCAAGCTCTGGCTGTGGCAGAGTGTCCCAGGGGAGGTACACTCACTTTGGCTTCCTGGGCTCCTTCTGCAGACCCCCTGCCCACTGAATGCCTCTGGGGAGGAAAGGCACACAGGGATGAGAGAGCAGGCACCTCCTGGCAGTAAGCTGGGAGGCTCTAGCACTAAGTCGGGGGGGGGCAGGTCCTGAGGGGCCCCACCATAACTGCGACTCTGGATGGAGGGCAGGCATGTTTCCCTTTTTCTAAGTAGGCACCAGGAGGAGGGGCTGTTCCCAGGAGTACTCAAGGATCCATCCCTGGATCTGGCTGAATTGGCAAACTATTGGCCAGTGTCCAATTCGCCCTATTTGGGCAAATTAATTGAGAGGGCAGTGGTATTACAGTTGCAGGGCTTTATGGATGACACTTCCATGTTAGACTTTTTTTAGACTTTCACCCAGGCTATGCAATGGAGACGGCACTAGTCGCACTCATGGACAACCTCGAGAGACATCTGGATTAGGGCGGGTCAGAAGTATGTTGTTTGTTGGACCTGTCAGTGGTGTTCGACGTGGTCGACCATCAGTTACTGATCTGCCGCCTTGCCGACACTGGGATTCAGGGGCTTGCCTTGTAATGGCTTGTCTCCTTTCTCCAAGGTTGGGGACAAAAAATGACTCTTGGGGATCAGCTGTCTCGAAGGCACCCAATGATATGCAGAGTGCCCCAAGGGCGGTGCTTTCCCCGATGTTATTCAACATCTGTATGCACTCCCTTGCCCAGATTGCCTGGAACCATGGGCTGGGGTGTCACCAATACGCAGATGACACCCAGCTATATCTATTGTTGGGCAGTCAGTCTGACTCTACCCCGGAAGATCTGGACTGGACTACTGTAATGCTCTCTACATGAAGCTGCCCTTGTCACAAATCTGGAAGCTGCAGCTGGTGCAAAATGCGGCAGTCAGGCTGTTGATGGACCTCCCTATGCAGGAGCATATCCAGCCTGTGCTGAAGGCATTGCACTGGATGCTGATAGCATACCAGATTAGTTTCAAGGTGCTGGTTTTGACTTTTAAAGCCCTACATGGTCTGGGGCCTGCTTACCTGAGGGACCGCTTTTCCCCACATGTTCCCCAGAGAGCACTGAGGTCGGGGTATCAAAATAGTTTGGCCCTCCGTGGACCAAAAAACACCAGACTGGCCTCTACCAGGGCCAGGGCCTTCTCAGTAGTGGCTCCAAACTGGTGGATTGAGCTCCCGGAAGATATCAGGGCCCTACGGAACCTTTTACAGTTACACAGGGCCTGCAAAACAGAGCTCTTCCACCAGGCCTTTGATTAGGAGCTGCTACCAATAACAACTGAACTGCAGTAAGGCCCTTACGCCAACGCTAACAGCTTGCGACATACCAGATACTGACTCTGGCCATACCCCCTTGTCTCCATCTTAACATGGCCTATTGGGTTCACCATATAATGTTATACCGCCACCAGCACTTTGTTATGTACTTGAGTTTTATGATGCTTCATCTGTGTTTTAATGTATTTTAACTTTTAATGTAAGCCACCCTGAGCCTGCCTGGCAGGGAGGGTGAGATATAAATCGAATTAAATAAATAAATAAATAATTTTGCAGGTAGCCACACTGCTCATCGCAAAAGCATGTAATTCTTTTGATGACTGGGCAGATTCTTAGTCTCTTTTATTTTTTTATTTACAATACTTATAAGTCCATCTTTCTCATTGAGACTCACAGTGGGTTACACAAGGTAAATCAGTACAATCAATATGATGAGCCACCTAATAAGCAATATACTAGGGCTAGGATTACAGAAATCTGAGCATATTAGACATGATAGAAAGTGCAGATACAGTGCAGAAAATGGTATTAAATCATATTAGACATGATAGAAAGTGCAGATACAGTGCAGAAAATTGTATTAAATCATTAAATGACAACAGAATAATACTTCCTATACACAGCGGTATAGTCCCACAGCACATTTCCCTAAAGTGCCTTCCTGAACCATTCTGTCTGTAGCCCCTACTCCTTTTACAGAAAAGCTCACCGGAACAACCGAGTTTTACCGTTTGCAGAACGACAGTCCCATGGGAGCTTTTGTACCTTTTATGAGCACCATCCAAATAAAACAAGGCAGCGAGCCATGTCTCAAATTCTCCCCAACTTCTCAACAGGCTAGGTGTTAAAAAGAGGAGAAAGGGCGGAGAATGGCAGACCATGACGTTTTCATATCCTCTTGTTTGCACTCCTCCCCACCCCCAAACACACGCACACACGTGTTATATTTTTAATCTCTTGCCTTATTTGAATGTTTGTGACATGGAAGTTATTTCTTTGAAACAATCACCTTGGGAAACCTGGGGAAAGGGAGGTGGCATCTGACTCCTCGTGGCCTCCACAGGCATCCAACCTGGGCTCGAAACGTCACACGAGTGGAACGACCACCCATCACGAAGAGCTGCTGCTGCTGTTGAACTCTCTCTCGCTCACACACACAACTCGGCCAGTCAGTCACGACTCTGGGACCGGCCAACCAGGAGAGGAGACGACAGCCGCTCAAGCGGAGGCCATCCTCCTCGCCTCCTCCCCCGGAGACTGAGGGAAAACAAGGGCGGCGGCCCCGCCCCCCCCGACCGTTCTGCGGCGCGAGCCTCAGAGAGAGAAAGAGAGACCGTCTCTCACACACAGAATTCCCCCCACAAAGCGGGGGGAAAAGACTCGCGCGGCTCTGCGCCTGACTGCCCGAAGAGGAGAACGAGACGGCGCCCCCTATCACCGCGAGACACCCACCCTTGCTTGAAAGGGAGGGGGGTAGCCCCTCCTTCCGAGCCTACCTCGCTCCTGCGACTGCGCTGTCGGTCTCGGTCTCTCGGTCTCATGCGGCGGAGCAGCAGAGCAGAAGCGAGGCAACTGGGCTGGAGTGGAGTCACGTGACTAGCCCCGCCTCTTTCTCGGAAAGAGGAGGCATTCACAACCTGACCGGCCTCACCTGCACCCACGTGACTAATGCTATGAGATAAGGGGGGGGGGGAGTTCGCGAGCGTGGCGGCGTCGCTGCTGTTAGTTACCTGTCCAGGCCCAGTAAGGGCGGTGAGGGCATATTCACAACCTCATGCATCTGATTGGAGTCAGTGCTGCAATCCTTCCCCACATTTAACTGTCACTAAAAAAAATTCAGACACGTGCAAACCTATCTAATACTCAAAAGTAAATATCGCAGGGTTTAACTCTTCTTCCTATATATAACGGCTCCCCCCTTCCCCCGCTGTAATTAGCTTTTGAGATTTTATTCCAGTTTTGTCTGAAGAAGTGTATTTTGCACAGGAAAGCTTATGCTTTGAATAAAACGTTGTTGGTCCCAAAGATGCCACTGGACTCAGAAGTTGTTCTGAAGCGGCTTCTGACCAACACAGCTACCCTCCTGAATCTTCTTCCTATATGTTTGACATTTCCTCTCTCTCTCTTTTTTTTTTTTTGACAGATTAAAAAGAAGAGAGAGAGGTATCATGTCAAGGACGGAATCCGTTTCAACACTGTTTTTGTAGTTATGTCAGCCTCATGTGAATTCAGTGATCATCGGCACCATCACAGACTGAAACCAGTCTGTCATTTCCAGATGAGGAAATAATCCTGGCATCATACTCCTTAGGTCATAATAACACCCATGGGAAGGACAGTCAGTCACATGTCCCACAGTCATGTGCTTGAGGGAACACATACATTTCCATTTGCAAACTGTCATTTATAAAATTCACAAGTAGATGTAATCGTATCTGGATTGTTACATAAATGTGTTGCTACAGGTACTTAGAACAAATTAATTATTTTAAATGTTTTCCAATTGGAGTTACTACCAGAGGTGAGACTTGAATTTTGGGGGTTAAAAAAATGTGGCAAATAACTCTCATTCTTAATGTAAAATGACATCAGTAAAATTCACAAGTAGCAACTAGCCTGCTCGGTAAATGGATCAGACCAATGAATTGGACTATCACCCTTTCAACTCAAAGCACCATCAAAATGAGGCATGCATATCTTTATCCTTATTGTGGAGCCCCCATTCTCTGCTCTCAGAACTCTTAGGGGCCCTCAATGACAGTTCAGCAAGATTTGCTACTTAAAAACACCATCCTGGCCACCAACCCTGCAGCCAACAGCATTCAGCTAACAGCACTCTCTGTTCTAAGCTGTCTACTTTTCCTGCCTACCCACTCCACTGCCTCTCAGCCCTCACCCAGGAGCTGGAGGCATGAACACCAACCCTACCCGTCTACTCGTCCAACTGAGGATGCAAGGAAAATGCATCCTGTACCATTAAGCGTTGTGGAATCCCCTGCCTCAGACATCTCTCCCCTGCGACACATAAGAATATAAGAAAAGCCAATGTTGGATCAAGCCAGTGGCCCATCCAGTACAACACTCTCACACAGTGGCAAAAAATACCAGCTGCCATCAGGAGGTCAACCAGTAGGGCCAGGACACTAGAAGCCCTCCCACTGTTGCCTCCTCCCAAGCACCAAGAATACAGCACATCACTTGCCCCAGACCGAGAGTTCCTATCTGTACCTTGTGGCTAATAGCCTCTGATGGACCTCTGCTCCATATGTTTATCCAATTTTCTCTTGAAACCGTCCATGCTTGTGGCCACCACCACTTCCTGTGGCAGTGAATTCCATGTGTTAATCACTTTTTGGGTGAAGAAGTACTTCCTTTTATCCGTTCTAACTCGACTGCTGAGAAATTTCATTGGGTGCCCACAAGTTCGTGTATTGTGATATAGGGAGAAAAGTACTTCTTTCTCTACCTGCTCTATCCCATGCATAATCTTGTAAACCTCAATCATGTCACCCCTCAGTCATCATTTCTCCAAGCTAAAGTGCCCAAAGCGTTTTAACCTTTCTGCATAGGGAAAGGGTTCCAACCCTTTTATCATTCTAGTTGCCTTTTTCACAATGTTATAATATCCTTTCCGAGGTGTGGTGACCAGAATTGCGCACGGTATTCCAAATGAGGTCGCACCATCGATCTATACAGGGGCATTATGATACTGACTGATTGGTTTTCAGTTTCCTTCCTATTTATCCTCAGCATAGTGTTGGCCTTTTTTTATTGCAGGCGCACACTGTTTCAACATTTTCAGTGAGTTATCTACTACGACTCCAAGAACTCTCTCTTGGTCAGTCTCTGCCAGTTCGGACCCCATCAACGTGTATTTATAGTTAGGAGTTTTGGCCCCAATGTGCATCACTTTGCACTTGGCCACACTGAACCCTTTCAGGAGTTTCAAGTAATGTCTGTCATAGAGGGGCTATGCACAGTGCAGAAAGCCCCACCCACTAGAGATATGCTGACAGAATGTCACATGATAATGGTATGACATTATACTGATGCAAGCCCACATGCAAGCAGGAGAAATAGCATAACCACATGTCTGGGTGACTACTGGCTGCTCCAGCCATTGCCATTAATGGCCAGATACACATGACTAGTAGCATCATCAGTGTGCAGGCATCCAGGGCTTGTTTCTGGTTACCCTTGGTGAATCACCTCTAGGTAATTGACAGGAAAACTCTCTAACCTGTGCTCTCTAACCTGGAGAGCACAGAGGCAGCAGAGGATAGGACTCACAATAACGGGTTTAAATTAAGGACAGGAAGGTACCAGCTGGATATTTTATCAAATACCAGCTGGATATTAGGAAAAACTTTTTTGCAGTAAGAGTTGTTCAACAGTGGAATCAGCTACCTAAGGAGGTGGTGAGCTCCCCCTCACCAGCAGCGGCTGGACAAACTTGTTAGGGATGCTCTAGGCTGATCCTGCATTGAGCAGGGGGTTGAACTAGATGGCCTGTAGGGCCCCTTCCAGCTCTGTATGATTCTATGACCCTGGGCCAGGCAGCCCACACTGTTTCCTGCAGCTCTTTTGGCCAGCTGCTTGGTTGGGGAAAGTGGGGCCAGCAGGCCTAAGGATTAGTGGTTTCCAATTTGGTCCACACTGCATACTTAAAAGGAAGAGGCGGCATGTGGGTGGGCATTTGGATCATCCCTGTCAGCAAAGTATGTTGATTTAGGTGGTTTAACTTTTACTGCAACACATATTTTTATTTGCATTTTGCTGTGTTTGAAAAATAATCCTTCAGTATTGCTCACACTCAGTAAGAAGACTTCATTGGGATGCCTTTCTCTTTACCGGGTCTTGCTACCTAAGAGAAACATAATAGCACAAAAGGCACCACAAGCCTAGACTAGACTTACACAGTGTTATCTAGCAAGTTTAGAACATACTGTTCAGTCCTTATAATTCATTGCTTTGTGTATCAAACAGGAGTATGCGAACAGACACATGTATAACATCCTATTTTAAAGTAGTCTTTTCAGATGGGTTCAAATAAAATAACTGCAGTTTTACAAAGCTTGTGTAGAATTAAAATTCCAGACAGTAAAGGTCCCATCTCATATTTGATAAAAAGTGTACATGTGAGCAAATTCCTTTCTGTAGGATGGTCACATTCACAAGTTGTTCATTGCAAAATTATTGGTCCTTAACTTTTTGTGTCAGGGTGACCACAGTTATCTTCTACCACTTACATTCTCACTCTGGTCTTTAAAAAGTTCATGTATCCTTTCCTATTTATTTCCTTCAAAAAGTGCGCATTTCAGAATGACAGCAGTGCATTCCAAGGACCAGAGTAGGTAAGCATCAAAGCCAGCGGCCAGACATGAATTTCACCCCTAGAATTATACTGAAGTGGTTGATTCCTACTATATGTTAACAACATTGTACAGTACTGAAATTGTATGCATTATGTTCATTTTTACTAGTTTTACTATGTGTTCTGTATTCTGTGAAATAATTCTATTGCCTCCACATTTTTTGGATCAAAACTATTGTTTACTGATCACCAGTAACAAATTCTTGAAAAACTTCTGGCCCATGGTTTTCATATTTCTCTGCTGTGAATGAAAATAGTAAACAGTGGAAGGGAATCAAAAGCTGAAATGCCGTTGTTTACTTTCCATCAACAACTTTACATTTTTAGAGCAGTTCATCACAACTTTTAGTAATAAGCTTGGTCATAAATGTGGCTAAGTCAAGCGGAACAAATCTTCTTGTAAAACAGCTAGAGATAAAAGATTGATATCTAGTTTGGATAAATGTACTGAAATATTTCTGAATAATTTATAGAAACTAATTAGCCACAATTCAGTCGTGTTTTAGGGCAGGGGAACTTAGAGATAATGCTATTCTGCTGCTATGTAGTTGAGATTCTAAAAGCAGAATTTTTAAAAATCCATTTCATTAGAATATGGAAAATGGACACTGCTGGGAATTTTGTTTTTGATGGTATATAAACCCTTTTTGAACCGGTAAAGCTAGAGTATCCCAGTTTGCCACTTTAATTCGGTATCCTGGACATTATACAACCCTATTGCGCAAAGCTAGTGACAGTTGCACATGGGCCACTAAGGAAGACTTTAGCCTAAGAACTGCAGCAGAAGTCAAGGACTGGATGCATAATGGAGAATACATTTAGGCATGCAGAAGGTGGCCTTTTCAATGAAGATTCTCTGAGCAGGTGTTTAAGTATGAACCCCAATAATATGAAGTTACTTTGTTCTGCTTTGGCATTTGGTCATCCACTGGACAGCCTTGAGTAGCATAAAGGTTTCATCTGACATCAGTATACTTTGGTATGGTATCACCAGATAGGATTAACGCCCCAAAAAGGACTGTAGGTAGCCTTACTCATTATGTGGAATGTCCTGTTGGTACTTATTTAAGATTTCAACCTATGAGTTCTTAGCGCAAGTGGGAAAAAGCAATTATTATTAAGTTCTTATAGTAAAGTTTATGAAGACCTTCCTTAAGTAAGAACTTCCATAAGTTACCTCTTGCTCCGGTTAACATCCTGCCACATTCACTGCCATTGTAGTTTAAAGAGAGTTTTTATTTTCAGGATCACTTAGGAATCATATGACTGATTATGAAAAATCCACGGTGAGCAGGGGGAACCTTGGCTGGACATAACTGGGTGGAAAAGGTGAGCTGCATTTAGAACCCTCTTGCTTTTGGGGCTGTTGTTGCCACTGTTTCATTATTTTTCTCACCAGACATTTTCTAAAAAACAATGAAAGCTATCAAAAGGGTATCTGATTACTCTGTTTCCCAGATCCTTCCCCTCCTATCTCTTATAACAGATCCCCCCCCCATTTACAGTTAGAAAACAGAAAAACAAACACCTGTGAGGTGCGGAGTTCTCCTTTAGGACATACACAGAATTAAAATAACAGAGAGAAAAAACTGGTTTGCAAAACAGTCTTTTATTGTATCCGTGCCACACATACTAGTGAAAAATAACACTCCTAAAAAAAAAAAAGAATGCTACCTTTTCCACAACGTTTTGTTTTAAATGAAACTTCAAGTACTCTTACATAGGTACAAAAAAAATCTGGTCTATCTGCCTCCAACAGGCCACCACAACACACAGTAGATAAAACACAGTGGTTACAAATGTCTTTTTGTTATTTCTGTGGCAAGGCAAATGGAGGGAAATGTTTTTTTTTATGAAAAAATACTGTGTGCGTAGGAAATTGTCACAATTTTTATTCCACATGGATACAAATGATTATACTTGAATTTTGAGGCCCTGGTGGCTTGAAATTATATAACAAAATAGAAAAATGGAAAACTAATATCCCCTACACCCTGTTTTAAAGGCAGGCACTACAAAGATTAAGGAGACTCCACAGTGTTGGTAGAGGATAGTTACTGTACAAGCCATATAGCTATAATTACCTTAAAACTAAAATAAAATGCTACAATCCTTCTAAGGCATAAACAATAATGTCTGCAAACAATATGTACACATCATACATATTTAAAACAAGACTTAATATAAACAATAATGAACAGTATATACATATGTCTCTTTTTTTCTTCACTGTCTTGAAATACAATTTAACTACACAAGTGATGCAGCAACATATATATAAATGTACTTGTAACTCTACAGTAAAGTTTAATTTTTCGTGCTTATTACAGCACATCAGTGTAAACAGTTTTACTTGGCTTTGTTTTATATTTTAAAACATTCCTTGTTGTATTTTCAAGATTTAAAGCAATTTTTCCCTAATTCTTCCTTTTCACAGAAAACGAAGAGTCTGGATGCTATTTAATCATAAATAATTCATAAAATTAAATACATTTACTAAAAATAAACTACAAAGTAAAAAAAATGAAAAATAGATATTTATTGAAAGGGAAAACAGAATCTTTTCCCCCAAGTAGAGCTCTGGTGGTTGAATATTCAGTGCGTTTTGATATATTTTAAATTGCTATTGCACTATAACACCCCTTACTTTTAAATTCTTTGGGTGTACTTCCCTGTTCTACCTAAAATAGTTTGATAAAACACACAAACCAAGAACCAAGGGCCGTGGTTGCCATAGGAGTGAAGCCTTAAGAATTAGTACCACACCTCTGTGATACTTTAAAGGAGAAAATAAAACAGTCATTAGTTATGCATGTGCCTTGTACTTTAATGTAAATACAGTTCACATTGCTGGTCTCATTCATCCTCATTTAAAAAAAAATAAACATGTTGGACAGTGATCACTTCAGCTCACTTTGAAAATCTCTGTCCATTTTTTTTCAAAATGTTTCCTCATATTGTGGCCAGCTCGGCCTATGTCAGAATCGTCTTCATTAAACGTTTCACAGTTGTCAAACACAAGCCTGACATCTACAGCAAAGGCTTCAAGATTAGGGTACCTGAAAGAACAAAGAAGATGCTATTTTGGGGGATACAGAATGAAAAGGGGGGGATCTAAAATTCTTTCCATAGATGAAACAGTGACAAGATTAATTTAAAGCAGTATGCTGAGTATTATTTATTTAATCATTTTTAATGGCTTACATCATTCCCGTCTCCTCCATTTTATCTGCACAACAACTCTGTGAGGCTGAGAGAGCGTGACTGGCCCAAGATCACTCAGCAAGTTCCCATGGCGTGTGTGGGGATTCAAAGCTGGGTCACTCAGATACTAGTCCATCACTCTTAACCACTATACCACTTTTGGAGTACGTCTCCACTATGACTCAAATACAGCAATCAATAGGCATTAATTGTATAAGAAAAGTTGGTTTAATTTTATTTTTAATTTTTCTTTCTTTTTTTAAAACAAATTTTATTGCTTGGATATATCTTCATATTCAACAGTACAACTTTTCTTTCCACATATATCCTTTTCTCAATTCTCCTACCCCCCCTTCTCTTGGCCTCCTGCAATGCTCCCACCCCCTCACACAAAACAATTCTTATATATTTTTAATTTTTCTTAACATGGTTTATATAAGTATTTACTTACTGTCCATTACTTAGTTTCTCTCGAATGGTGGAAAAATCCATGGGTTTTTTAATAACCTTCCGATAACCAGGAACAAGTTTCAAGTTTACAGGAAGTAGGAAAGGCCATGCATCCTCATGAGTTTCCAATTCAGAAAGGATAACACTAAGAAAAAAGAATAAATTGATTTCTGTGCCATTTTGTATTTCACATAGCAAGTGACTCCATCTAGCTATGACTGATTCTACACAAGGGCTTTTCCCTGCATGAATAACAGGAAGCTACCAAATTAAAGCAGAACATCCACATGATTTTGTGCTCATTGTGAGCATGACTTGTGGCATTCTTTTAGTCTAGAGGAACAAAAATATGTCTCTCTCTCTCTCTCTCTCTCTCACACACACACACACACACACACACACACACACACGTTTAAAGGGGAATCTACAGAATGCCTGCAGGGGCATGTTCATGTGAGACACTCCCTCCATCATTACTATGAGGGCAGACCTAAGATTTGCTTTCAAAACAGTTTGGAGCAGCATGTTACTAGACACCATTCCCCATCCCGAGTGCTTCAAATGTTGCTGTTGCCATTGCAGGGGTGCATTTTCATGTCCCTGTGGGGGAGCAGCCTATAATTACTTACACAAGTATACACTGGTCTGTTCAGTGTCTTTTTAACTGCTATTCTCCTTGAGTGCAGTGCTTATTAGCCATCCCAGCTTGCCACAAAACTATATGTTGCTATAATTAATAATCCTAATGTCAAGTGCCTATCACAAAATCAGTGAAACAGGCCCACCCACTCGCAATGACAGGATTTCTTTATGGGGCTCCAAGGGGAATTTTTACAATCATGGGGACAACCAGTACCCTTATAGTTTGAGGCTCAGTTTGACTTCAAAATTCAGAGTTAAGTAAACTCAGCTGGGCTGTACCTGCATAAAGCCATGTCCTTGGATTCATCGTGTTTAGCTTTCTTCACAGGGGAAACACTTTCTTGCTTTGAGGAACTAACAGAAACATTTTCATCAATTTTTCTCTTTTTGGAGTCTGTTTTCGCTTTTTTTATTGAGTTGCTTGTGGTTGCAGAGTCCTCTTCCTCCATCTCTACCATTAAGGGCAATTTCTTGCCTTTCTTATGGTCGTTACTCTTCTTCCCTTTGAGTGGATTTTTTTTAACTTTTAAAGTTTGACCACTTGCCTACAGCAGAAAGAAAAAATCATGATAAAGTAAGCACAAACACAGTAGGCAAACTGATGCTGTGTGTCCATTGACAAAAAGGTTCCATATTCTCTAGAATGAAATCACCAGCAGTGCTTTTAGCAGAAGAATCTAAGAGCCAATTCATAAAGCGATGCAGGGTATAAATACAGAGAGAAACACTGGTCTGTTCAGTGTCTTTTTAACTGCCATTCTCATTGAGTGCAGTGCTTATTTGTCCCTAACATTAGCCATCCCAGCTTGCCACGAAACTATATGTTGCTATAATGCAGACAGTACGGAGAAGGAGCAGGAACGTGGCCTTTAGGGCCCTTTGAACAAGATGCTAGGCCATGTGGAGCTCTGCAAAGGAAAGTGCTTTCTGCATAGTCTGCATTTCATATGAATAATGAAAGTCACTGGAAAAGGGAGATAATTACTTAACTGGGATCAATTAGAAAACAATTGGACTGGATTCTAAAACACTGCAGGCTAGTGTTCCAGTTGTGCTGGGAGATTTATAGCTCTCCGGTAGCTCCCCCACTTCTCCCGGAGAAGCCCTGTCGAAGTTGCAAATGTTCCTTCTATTGGCATGGAAAGAAGCACTTTCCATTTGCATGGGGGAGGGAGGACACAGATTGTGGCCTTAAAAATCACATGGAGATTTCAGATCTCATAATATTTGCATGTCAGTGAAATGATCCATCCTCTTACAATCAGGTCAACTTTAAGGCCACTTTAGAGTTCTATAGACAATATTAATCTCCTGTCTTCTCATACTATCCTTGTCTTCAAAAGCTAAAAAATTAATCACTGCAATTGCTGTGATGAGTCAGCACTGCCCTATCAGCTTTAAACAAAAATCTGTAAAATTACAGTAAACAACACAGTATAGGAAATGGAAGTGTGACTTTTTAGGACATGGTCTATTTAACAATTTTATTTTTTTCCACGTCTGAAGAGCACAGTAATTAAATGGGCATTGATATTGACTTGTAAGAAGTTGTAAATGAAATGGAGATGAAAAGGGGAAACTACCAGTGGACCCAGACAGATTACAAACCAATGTCTGGACAAAGTAAAAGTGAGATTCTCTATGACAAAATAAAACACTGGAGTATAAATTACTTAAACATGCTGTTTGCAAATGAGTAGGCAATATACTGGATATAAGATTAGGACAGAGAAATCATGATTTAAGACAAAGTTTCTCTAAATCCTACCCATTGGACATTAAGCAACACACATACAATATATACACAGTACAGAGCCAGGGCCATCCTATCTCTGGGACAAGTGTACCATCATGATAAAACATAAAAACACAGGCCTGTTGCATGCACACTTTGCAGTAAAAATAATTTTTAAAAAATCTGTAATTTGTCTTCTATGTTTTTCTATTAGCAATTAGGACTTATTCACACCTTACATTTTTTACATGTGCAAAAACCTGTAAAGGGATCTTAACCAGTTTGTTGCACAAAGAAAGTGGACTGATCCATCATGCTGTGGGATTACATGAAGGTAGGGTTGCCAAGTCAGTTTTTCTTACCGGTGGGGGAGCCTCGCCGGGCTCCAGGAGCTGTCTGTCGATGTGCGTGCGCGCCGCCAGCACGTCACCAGAAGTGACGCGCAATGTCGATCATGTTGAAGGTGTGGCCCTGATAGAGTTTTCCCTCCGATGATCGGGGCCACGCCCCCAATGTGATTGACGTGGTTGCGTCACCTCTGGTAACGCAGCCACGCTGCGCTTCGGGGGGCGGAGTCCCCCCCAGGGCCCAATTCCGCGGCGGCGGGAATCGGGCCTCCGAAGCGGGGGTTTACCCACCCCCACTTGGCAGCCCTACATGAAGGTTAAAATCTCTGCCATTCACACAGCTATATCTTGACTATTTTTTACTTCTGTAACAGCTGTATGTGCTACTGCTTCAAACACAGCTAAGCCAGAATTCAGAAGGATATGCACCAACCATGCACATACATAAACTGTTGTAGTGTTAATCTTTTTAGAGTATGCCCCCATCTTATCAATACAGTTGCACTAAAGCAACATAAAAAGGCTTCTTAACCTTACGTTCACTTTGTAAGGACCTTGTCAGTTGTGGTAAGTGACCTTCACCTCCAAGCAATCAGATAGCAATGCTCATGTAAACTAGACAGGACTTGTTTTTTTTTTCTCCACTCTTTCAAGTCCACTGCGTACCTTGAATGTTCTTGAAGTATGCATCTAATAAACATTGTATACATTTGGTGGAGTGCAAGGCTGTATTAATGGATAATTGCTGGAGATAGACAAAGCATTAAAATGTAATCCGCTGTGAAGTGCTGCTAACTACTAATAAGAAAATGTAGGAGATAAATTATAATTAAATATATATATACACACACACACACATACATACACACATATTATTGCAACATGTACATGTGGAAAGCCTTATTTTTAAGCTGAATTGCGAAACAATTTGGATTCAAATTTCAATTAGTATTACCTTTGCTATGCAAGCAGGACAAAACCAGTCACCATCTGGAATTGTATTGATCTTGGGCCTATGGCAATAAGTGTGACAACCTTTGTCACACCCATCACAAAGCAGCAACAGTTCTTCGTTGTCCCCTTTGCGGCATATTTGGCAGTACTACAAGAGAAGGAAATTATTTCAGATAATTATGTCCTTAATTTATGCACTGGATTAAATATGCATCCATAAATTAATTTCCCCCCCAGAATCTGTAGTTCTATTGGACATTTACACTTAATGCAGAACCTCAGAAGAGAAAAAAGTGAAACATTCCTATCTGCCTGTCTTCTGTATTTCCTTCTTAAACGCACAGCCAGTGTTCAACTAGAGTGACTGCCTGCTTAGGACTGCTTCACATATTACGACATTCTTACACAAAGCCGAAAGTGCCACATGCCTATCTGTCTGTCTTCTGTATTTCCTTCTTAAACGCATAGCCAGTGTTCAGCTAGAGAGACTGCCTGCTTAGGACTGCTTCACATATTACGACATTCTTACACAAAGCCACTTCCATGAAAGAATTAGTATGAAAGTGTGAAACACACAGAACTTAGTGTGGAAAGATGGTACATATTTTTTCCTTTTGTTCCATGTACAAGCACTAGGGAACATGCTGGTTGCAGTTTCAAAGAATGTACGTGCAGAGAAAAAAAAATCTGTAAAATCATCACATTTAACAACCTACATGCAGGCTTCAAATTAATGCCTGCACAAGCTGGGACCCTGAAAAGACTCACAGGGAACAATTCAGAATACTCATCCATCCCTAACTCTCTGCCTTGACAATTCTCAGATGCCTGGTTTTGTTTTCCTCTCACCTCTTTTTTATTTAACAGGCACTCATCTGCTTTCAATATTCTGTCCTTTCTAAAGCATATTTAGTCTTAATCAAAAAGGTTTTGGACACACACACACACACACTCACTTTGGTTAAATTACAAACTTGAATTTTCCCACAAACCTGGGGAGTATGTAGAGACCCCCTACCTTGCTTATGGGAGGCCAATTTTTATGGCTTTCACCAACTACATAGGTAGTGAGTTTACTTTCCAGTTTACCACTGGGTTTACTTGTTAGGTATGTTAGACAAAAGTTACCTCTGTGTAGGATTTAGTAATACATGAAGCAGTTCTCAAAAGAAAAAATGACATTCTTGACAAACTTATGACCTCCAAGACCAGCCACCAGATTCATGGACTAACTATCTTTTGGTAACACTTCTAAAAACATTTCATGAAATCAGTCTGTGTGTGTGTGTGTGTGTGTGTGTGAGAGAGAGAGAGAGAGAGAGAGATTAGAAACTGTTGTAAGAATTTGGAAGAGAAAGCCCAGAGTGCATATACACACTCAAGACTCATATACCATTTATTTATGAACTGTTTAATCAAATAATTAAAAATTATGATCAGCCCTAAAACCGAACTACACCAAAAACTAACAACAGCGGCAATAGTAAAGCAGCACCACTGGAGGATAATCAAGAGAGGAATTATCTGATAATTAAAAGCTTGCTTAATTTTTTTAAAGTCTTACTCTAGTGCCTGAAGATGGTCAGAAATGAGAGCCTGGTGAAGTGAAAAGGATTTTCAAAATTTGGATGCTACTACTGAGAAAGCCCTATCCTTCATAGCCACCCACCTTACTTCCAAAGTTTGGGGAACATGAAACAAAGCCTGCAATGCATTGTCTGGACAGGAATAAATGGCTGCAGAAAGTCCTTCAGATATTATGATCCCAGATGATAAAGGGCTTTAAAGATTAGGCCCAAAATGGCCAGGCAACTGTGAGAACCCTTAAGAACTGGTGTGATATGCTGCCTCTAGTGTTGCTGCTGCAGTCTGGGCTAGCTGAACTTTCTAAACAGTCTTCAAGGACAGCTCTCTATATGGCACATAACTTTCTAAACAGTCTTCAAGGACAGCTCTATATATGGCACATGGTTTTAATCTAACTTGGAGATGACAAAAACATGGGCCACAGTGGCCAGATGTAATTTCTCAAAGAAGGGCTGCAGCTTGCATACCAGCCAAAGCTGTTTAAGGGCTCTACAAACTACAGCTGAAAACTGCGAACCTGCTCCTTCAGGAAGAATGCTACCCCATCCTGAGTAGGCTGTAACCTGATTCCATGATCAACAGCGCTACTAGCCAATAGGACTGAGTTCCATGGCTTCTGTTCTTTCACTTGATTCAGATGGCATGGAAAGAGCTGAATATCATCTGCACATGGATGACATGCCCTCATAACTCTGGAGGGCTTTCCCTGGTGGCATTAAGGAGAGGGAGAGAACTGGACTTTGTAGAGCTCCATGGCCTAACTGCCCTGCATCTAGACAGTGCTCCCCTACCCCATCCTCTGGAAATGGCATGTTGAGTAAAATCAGAACCACTGAAGTACAGTGGCTCCACTGCCCAGCTCAGTCAGCTTGTTCGGAAGCATATCATGGTCAGTGTTGTCAAAGCCCACTGAGAAATAAAGGGAAAAAATGAGAAGCGATGTACTACCCTATCCCATTATTGGTGGGTGTCATCTATGAGGGAGACTAAGGCAGTTTCCATCCCAAAACAGAGTGTGAAATAAAATTTAATTGGGTCTAAAAAAGCAGAGTCATCCAAGAGCACCTGGAGCTGGACAGCCACATCTCCACTAAAGCATTTTGCCCCCCAAGATGCTTTACAGAAGCCCCCTTCAGACACTGCGTCTGCATGTATTGAGACCCTGCCAACTGGGCATATCAGGTATGCACACCACCCATGATGTTCCCAATATGTGCAGCTGCCATGCTGTTTAAACAGGGGAATGCACACGTTTTGGATGCACATAGAGATTTGGTGTGCATGAATCAGAACTCTGAAAAATCCAGTGGCCAGTTTGCTTGTACCAAAGCTGTACACTCATGCAAAATACGTGTTCAGACAGTATGGGGATCGCATATATCAGGAGGATCTATATATTGCTGGGAAGTCCTTAGCGTAAGAGATCTCTTCATATCCACGTATGAACTTGAAGTGCTTTCTGACCATTGTCCAGTGGCTTAGGAAAAAAGACTAGCAGGATGATGTCCTGCGTAAGGTAAGACCTGGACACTACTTCAGGGGGAGGGGAATTAAATTAGGGTGAAATACAGTAAATGGTGGGTCCTGTTCTCAGATTGCACAACTCATCTGGAAGATGTGACAGCCACTAAAAATGTGATTTTGAATAACAGAAGTCTGAAAACACAAGTGATGAAAGGTAGGCCTCTAAATTTGGACAAAAGAGGCTCCAGGATAGAACCATGGTTTAAAAAAAAGGGTGAACATGGATCAACCCTTTAAAAAAAATTCCACAAAATTCTGGGAAGACGCTGAACCATATTGACGTTCAACATTAAATGCAGAGATACCAGCCAGATGAACTTGTAAGAAAGAGGAACCCAAACCAGTAGTTTAAGGTGTAAAATATATTCCAAAATGTCAGGAACTGAGGCTGAAGAGGGACAGAGACTGTGATGTTCCATGTAGGAACAAATTTTCTTCCACTGAGCAAAGGACCATCTCATCCCTCATAGATGATATTATTGCCTGAAGGGATGAACCCTCCATAGACTGAGTTTCGGAGATACCGGTCATGGTAAAGTATTCTAATGCTGACTTAAGAGATCCATATAATGTAGTAGGTAGATGCACTCTCATTTGGGCAGCAGATAAGTTAGGGTTGCCAACTCCAGGTTCAGAAATAGCTGGAGATTTGAGGGTGGGTTTTAGGGAGGGACCTCAGTGGGGTATAATGCCATACATTCCACTTTCTGAAACAGCCATTTTCTCCAGGAGATGAGTGAACCATGGCTGGCATAGCCAGTAAGATGCTACTAGCATGCGTCTGTCTCAGTCCATGATTAGATTCCACATCACAGGAGAGGCAGAAAAGCATACGTAGTGGCCTCCTTGGCTTCCCACCTTTTAGTTGTAAGGTACAATTTCTGAGAAATTAATTCCCATCCCAGCACTATCAGCCACTGAGGCAATTGGCTTTTTATGAGTTGTGTGTTTTATATGTTTTAACATGGTGTTAATTGTACTGTATTGATATTGTTGTACTATATTTATATTGTTGGAACCCTGAGCCTGTTAAGGGGAGGGCGGGATACAAATCCAATAAATAAATAAATAATACAACCCAAGGATCCTCTCTGTATCTCTCCCCTGCTTTAGTACAGGGGGACTTTTTGTTGTAGAATATGGTGAGTAGTTCTACACAAGTTGGACCCAAAGACTGAACATTGTCAGATAAGTGCCAAGGTTTCCAGTACCAACTGTGAACCACTGTGCCTCCTCCAACAGCAAATCTCTGCAGAAATGTTCAAGTTCCAGGAAATGTATGGCTGTGAGGAAAATGCTGTTGCAGATGTCCCATGTCCACATTTTTGATGCTACAGTACGCAGTCTACAAGATGCTGGGTCCCTATGGTTTGTTTACATTGGTTGCTACCAACACAACCCTGACGATTGGCGTCCACGAGGACATTCCATACTGCAGTGATAATTAACATGGAGTCCCTAGAGTTTCTAAGTTCAGGTACTACTGACTGTGAGATTCTTACAGGAAGCTCTTCTGTCCTGAAGGGATAACTACAATAGATATCTTCTGTCTTGTCAGCCAGACATGAACTGGTAGGATTAGTGCCAGAATGGTGAAAACCATATACTGGTAATCCCAAGCAAGCAGAAAAAGGCTGAACTGTAAGGGTGCATATGAAAACATGCAGTTTTGTTTTAAAGACATGCATATGAGATGACTGCAATTCTAAATGCCATTAGTCCAAGAAGGCACAGGCTGTGACATAAGTGTGGCTTTAATGGCAAAGATCATATGAGTTCTTGTCTTGTGGAAAGAAGATGCAATCTATAGTAGCTCTGAGAATAGCTCAGATGACCTGGAGCTTACACATGGGAACAGTGGTTGACTTCTCTGTGTTGATGCCCAGATCCAAAGATTAAAGGAGTGTAAGAGTGGTATATATGTTGGAGATGGTGTTCAACAAGCAGTACATTGTTGATGAATGGGAAGCTTATGACATTTTGTAGTCTGAGGTGAGCTGAGTGAACTGTCAGACATTTTGTGAAAACTCTTGGAGAGAGGCATTTTCTGTACTTTGGCATGTGGAAATACGTGTCCTGAAGATCTGCTGGGCAAACCATGTTCCAGTTTCTAGGAGTGGAAGGATGGTCGATAGGGAGAACATCCTGATTTTTTTGTGACAGATAAATTAATTGACACCTCTCAGGATGATTACAGATGGTGGTACTCCATTTAATTTTGTGAGGGTGGTTTTTTTTGTCATGCTACTTGTGACAGGGATGTGGACTGGAATGCATTCTGTCTTTTACAGGCATGTGAAGGGGGAAAGATATAGCCCAGGTTCAGCCAACCAACCTGCCTGGGGATTTGGGGTAGCTCTTGGAATCAACATAAGGACAGCTGCAGTCCCATCAAAGTTCAGCAAAGGGACCAGTGAAGGAAGCCTTCACTATTCCAGACCACCTCTTAGAAGCTGTCGAGTATCAGAGCCCATGCAGTATTTTGCCAGCTGTGAAGCCACCTGGAGTAGAGGTATATATCATATGGCTGAGGTTCAATTCCTCAGGTTGAAGCTCAAAACCGAATTACAGAAAATGAAATTAATTCCAGCATCAGAAGGTGAGAGGATCAAAGGGAATGAGAGGGAAGTAATGGTTTGGACATAATGGCTCCAGCCATCAATGATGCCAAAGAGTTCTCCCAGAGGAATGTGTGACATAGGATTCCTGTTAGCTTGCTTAGTAAATCTAGCAAAGCAACAGCAG